TCCTTGAAAGCCGTCTTAATTGCGTCGTCTTTGTCTAACTTTAGTTTATAAAACATTACATCTACCGAGTAGGTGTTAGTCGTATTTCGTCTTTTGTGTTCCTTCTTTGCTTCCCGCATTCTTTGTCCGAGTGGATCTTTGTCGTGGTGTTTGTCGTGGATTTTGTCGTATGCCGTGTTTGCTTTCGCTTTTTGCTTGTCGGTTTTTGCGGTTATAAACTGTCTGATTAAATTGTCCGCGGTGGTGAATTGTGCTATTTTACGGTCTTCATAAAAATCAATTAGAATTTGTATTTCTTCTCTGGTGCCTTGTGTGAGGCGATTTTTGTAATTGTCGTAGGTTGTTTGTAATGCTCGGGTGTTGCGCTTGATGTTCTTGGTCATATAACTATATACTTCCTATACAAAATATTTTTGTTTTTGAATGATTTTTCTTAAGATTTTTAAACATTTTTTAAATATTTATAAAATTTATTTTTGGAATAAAAAGTATTTAAAGATTTGAAAATAATATCTAGTATAGTAATATTATGGCACAAAGTTTATTGAGCGAACGCGAGATGTCCTATAAAAACCCCGAAGATATGACTTTAGACGAGATAAGGGAACAATTGGCGATATACAACCGTTTGTATTTTACTTTACGGAAGGACGACGAAGCATACATGCAAAAAACGCGATGCTGGATTGAGACACGCGCAGAAGAAGCGAATAAGGAATATGTTCAAACTCATAACATTAACCAAGAAGACTTAACAGAGAAACAAATTACCGAAATTATGAACGATAAAAAACCATCAGGAAGAGAACGTGGTGGAACAATCAAATATGATATGGTGAACTGTAAAATCGTTATGCCTTTGACTGATGACAATACTAAATGATGATTTAATTCTTTTATTAAATCACTATTTTCGTTACTAGTTTATATGAGCGAGAAGCAGAAAATAATTAGTGATGTGTATTTTGATAAGGCGGGACAAAACCACAACAATGGACGATATTAACGAGTTTTTGAGAAAGAATGTTGAGCAAAAAAGAAGGCCGGTAGGTCAAAACAGTTTTATCGCCCCACATTCCGCATATGAGTATCCGATGGATTTGTTTGTTATAAACGATTTGGATGAACAACAGTTTAGGGTTGGTATGCTAATGATTGATGTCTTTCTTTGATAAGTTTATGCACGTAATTAGTGCCGATAAAAGGAAAAAAGAAGAAGATTTAGCGAGTGGGATGATTGAGTTTTTAAGCAAGATGGGAAAGAAACCCGAGATAATTTATACAGACGACGAGGGCGCAATGAACAAGGAAGCCATACAAAAGTATTTGAAGGACGAGAACATAGAACACCACAGAACACGGGCGCACCCAAATTTTGCCGAACGAGCCATCCGAACTTTTAAAGATATGTTGTATAGGAGAGTTGAAGCGGATGAGAAAAAGGGAAAACAAAACATCCGATGGCCAGACTACATATTAGAAATATTTTTAACCTAAAACAATCAAATGAAGCATTCAGCCACGGGATTTACGCCAAAAGAACCAGTAATCAATTCAAAGTGAAATTAAATTTAACGATGAAGGGCAAGAAGAACCGCGTATATCCCGATTTAGATGTAGGGGACGAAGTTAAGATATGTAGGAAGCGAAAACCAAATGAAAAAGAAAGAGTGAGCAACTGGTCACAGAATATTTACACCATAGAAAATATTGAAAATAAGTTAGGGCAAAAATTATTACAGAGTTGAGGGCAATAATAGGCAGTATTTGCGGTTTGAGTTGCTGCGGGCTTGGGGTTGGATCGCCGCCCCAACGCTGGTACTCATATGATTTCAAGATTGCCGTTCAAACTTCTGGTTCTTGGGTCAAAGGGGCTGGCCATGCAGGTGAGTAGTTAAAAAGGCTCAGGCGACCTTGGCACTCAGGATGGCTTTTTCTGCATGATCAGCGGTTGTTCACGTCACACTGCCAAAACTGGTCCCAAATCTGCTGGCACATCACACTGCCCATGTCCATTCCATCCAAAACAGATGAGCCGACCATCTGCACGCACTGCACAAGTGTGACGAAGGCCAGCTGCGACTGACAAAACTGGTCCCAAATCTGCTGGCACATCACACTGCCCATAGCGGTTGCCTCCAAAACAGACGAGTCGACCATCTGTCCGCGCTGCACAAGTGTGACGACCGCCAACTGCGACTGCCAAAACTGGTCCCAAATTTGCTGGCACATCACACTGTCCATTCTCATTCCATCCAAAACAAATGAGCCGACCAGCTGCGCGCACTGCACAAGTGTGAAAAGGACCAGCTGCAACTGCCACAACTGGTCTTAAATTTGCTGGCACATCACACTGCCCATGTGCATTCGATCCAAAACAGATGAGCCGACCATCTGCCCTCACTGCACACGTGCAACAACCGCTAGCTGAGACTGCCAAAACTGGTCCCAAAACTGCTGGCACATCACACTGCCCATCTCCATTCCATCCAAAACAGATGAGCCGACGATCTGCCCTCACTGCGCACGTGTGCCAGTCGCCAGCTGCGACTGCCAAAACTGGTCCCAAATCTGCTGGCACATCACACTGCCCATCTGCATTCGATCCAAAACAGACGAGCCGACCATCTGCACGCACTGCACAAGTGTGACGGTCGCCAGCTGCGACTGCCAAAACTGGTCCCAAATCTGCTGGCACATCACACTGCCCTTCGTCATTCCATCCAAAGCAAATGAGCCGACCATCTGCGCGCACTGCACAAGTGTGAAAGGCCTCAGCTGCGACTGGCACAACTGGTCCCAAATCTGCTGGCGCAACGCGCTGCCCCTGTCCGGTATATGCACTGCAGGCTATCAAACCGCCCGTCCTCGTGACACGGTTGCAGGCAGCGTGAAACTTCCCGTAATTAGTGCGGCGGGGATGTGGCAGTCTGAATCCATCTACGCATGCTTCTGGACAAGCATCCAAGACGTTGAAGCTGAGGCAGAGCGAAACGCGACTGACGCGGCACGGGAACGTGCGCGTAGCCAGCGCACACTGGCAGAACAAACCTGCCGTCATGGATGTCCAGGAGAATGTGGTAAATACCAGGACAGCTGTCTTAACGATTGAGAGATGAATGCTGGAAGAAATGGGGCACACTTGATGCGGAAGGACGACCATTGCGAACAAGTAGTTGATGCTACTCTTATTGCTATTATGATTAATATATTGGTTAAAACTGCGATGACTATTGTGATTATTGTTAGTCTTCTTCCTGTTCAAGATTATTATCCTTCTAAGCCTTCTTCTTCCTAGTATTCTCCTTCTGATTAGTCTTCTTATTCCTCTCTTTTAGGGTTTAAGGGTCTAGGGCGTAGGGTTATTATGATTAGTACTACGAATATCATTTCAATACTAGAAGCAACAATAATGGTAATAATAGTACTAATAGCACTAATAAGAATAGCAATTTCAAGTAATACTATTACTAAAGTTCCTTTATTATCACTACTATTGATGCTCTTGTGGCTGCTTGCTGTGAGAGCAGGCCAGGCAATTCAAAGACCCTCGGAGACTGAACAAAAGTCATGACCGGCACCACGAAACATGCTGCAGCCGTAATTTACCGCAACAAGAATAGTAGCAGCACTACTAATAAAAGCAGTAGTCACCACTAGCGTGATTCATAGCTATTACTCGTTGGCTTCATTGCCGTCGCCAGCTTGTTGCAAGACCTGTTTCCTACTATCGGTAAATCATTAGAATAGACCATTTCCATTTTTCAAGGGTTTGGGATTTCTGGTTGATACTATCGGGTTTTCTGTGGGAGTGCGGGTGTATCGGGTTGAGGTTGGTTTTTTCTATGTGGTGGTGTATGAGTCTTCTGGTGGTTCCAGCATGTGGGTCTTTCCTATGGCTCTTTTGGTGAGGTTATGGTTGAGGTATACGTTGTTATGGTTTTTGGGTCTTCGGGTGGGTCTTTCCTAGGGTTCTACCTATGGGTCTTGGGTGAGTTGAAGGTTGAGGTATAGGTTGTTATGGTTTGGGCGCTAGGGGGGTGCATGAGTTGAAAATGGAAATGGTCTATGCTAACTTATTATGGGGTTGAGGGCTTAGGGTTTAGGGTCGTAGGCTTCTTACTGTAGGGATTCGTACAAGCGGGGTTTATAGGGGGGTTTGGGGGGGGGCGGGGGGGTTAGGGTTTATAGGGTTTAGAAAGGTCACTTCTCTACAATGTGGATCCTTTTGGGTTCCTTATAAAGGTACCCAATAAAGGGGCCACAATTAAAATAGAGAACTAACCATGAGGGGTGTAGGGTTCATCGGGTTCAGGGCTTTAGGCTGTATAGGGTTCGGGGTTTTGGGTTCTTGAGAATGGTGGACTACGAGAGATCGTCCGCTAGTAATAGCTCGAGCCCCTAAACCCTGGCCCTAAACCCTGCTTATGAAAAACGAGTTCAGGGCGCAACGCCTTTGAGTGGCTTTCGGGGTTGTGTTGCGCCTTGGTTGGGACCTTTTGTTGGCTGGGATGGCGAGGTGCGGTTCCCAAGATGCGCAGGCGAATCTTGCTCACTCGAACCCTCGCAGAGCGAGGCCGCACCAAGTGAACGAACGTCATCAACCTTTCTTTCTCTGCCTCCTAAACCCTAAACCCTAACCCTAAACCCTAAACCCTAAACCCTAACCCTAAACCCTAAACCCTAAACCCTAAACACTAAAAGGGAAAAAGGTGGCTGAGTGTGAGACCCAGTTGTGGAGCATCGGTGGAATTCGCATTCGGTCCACACCTGCGCAATGCCGAGAAAGCCACATTGCCGGGTTGAGAGGGTTTAAGGGTTGAGGGTTGAGGGTTTAGGGCTTAGGGCTTCGCGTAGCCCCTAAACCCTAAACCCTAAACCCTAAATCCTAAACCCTAAACCTCAGGCAAGATTTAGAACTACGGGGCAGAACATGAGGGTCCAGCAACTCCTACCCATGAGCCGTTTCTAATCCAATCCCTCGACCCCGGTGCCCAAAGTCACTGGCGCTGCAAGCTGGGGCCGCTACCCGAGCACACTTCTTTCTCACTTTCGAACCAGCCATCGCGAAAGTCTGGCTGTATCCTTGGTCTAGCAACGGTAACTGAGAACTCACACGCGGACTCTACAGTAGCGTCCGGGGCTTTGGGTTCAAGAGACTCGTGCATCCGGCTTCAACACGCAATGTCACGGAACCGTACTCTTGCGGCAAGCCACTTAATGAAAGGGTACATATTCTTGATGACCGGGTTGTCCGCGGGATCCTGCAATTGCGCCACAGCATGTGCTGAGCGGCAGCAAGAAAAGGTCTTCTTCACTGTTGATCGCCTGATGACAGATGCACCAATGGCATGACAATGCTGCATGTCTAGTTCATGGTTGGGATAATACTAAAAATTCTAACTTTTATTCCTTATTGGGCTTAAGTACCCTTAAACATGTAGAATGGTACCTAACTATGACTAAGGTGTCCTCCAAGCCCAACTGCTTGGCGATGATGTCTGCAACCGCTGCACGGGACTTTACCTGAGCCACTCCGACATTGAGCTGCCACGGGTTTAGGGTTTAGGGTTTAGGGTTTAGGGTTTAGGGGGCGTTTTTAGCAGGCTTCGGGAATAGCCTGCGAAAAGAGCGCTACAGACATCGGCAGCACCTCGGCGCTAACTCGTGTGATGCCGACCCATGGCGTTTCGGGTTTAGGGAACCGCAGATGACTGGCGCGCATTTGTGAGCTCAGATTCGGCGATCTATCGTTGCTCATCGCTATCGACTCAACATACCGTGCATTCAAGACACACAAAACACACAAACACACAAACACACAAAACCACACACACACACACACACACACACACACACACACACACACACACACACACACACACACACACACACACACACACACACACACACACACACACACACACACACACACACACACACACACACACACACACACACACACACACACACACACACACACACACACACACAACACACCACACACACATACACACGCACACACACACACACACCCACACACACACACACCCACACACACACACACACACCACACACACACACACACACACACACACACACACACACACACACACACACACACACACACACACACACAGAGAGAGAGTTCGCACGCAACACATACAGGTCCCGAGCTGAGTCGGTCAGCGCTTTCATGAAGAGCCTTGCCTTGCGTGGACCCAACCTCAGCAAAACAACTCTATCTACAGCTCCTTTACGGCTTATAAGGCTTCTCGGAATTTGTAGGGGTCTTCTAGGGCTTATGCGTAAGGCTCATGGGGTTCATAGGGCTTGTAGGATTTATCCTGTAGGTTTTTTTTTTTGTGGGGGGGGGGGGGGGGCCGGAGGGGGGGGGGGGGGGCGTGGTGTGGGGGGGGGTGAGACTCGGTGGGGGTTGGTGTGTAACGTGTCGGAGAACAGCCCTGAGTGGACAGTGTAGTGGAGGGGAGAGGGCGGGAGCGGGGGGGGTCGGGATGGGGGGGGTCGGGAGGGGGGGGGCATGTGATTTGGTTTATCGGGGTGGGGAGAGGGACCGGGGGGGTGCATAGAGAGCGCGGGGTGGGGGCTGACGGACTGTCTAGGGTTGGTAGAAAGCGGAGAAGTAGCCATACATTCTAGTTACAGTAGGGCTTACGGGTATTTACCTTACAGGTGAAGATGGAACTTATTTAGACTTATCGAGTATTTGTATGTTTGCTAATCTTCAAAACGACGGTGATGATGCTGCGCAATTTTTACGACCATTATCAGGATTACACGGATTTTTCAGTCGTCATAGATGTACCGTAGGGGGTCAGTCAGTTCAAGACATCGACCAATATATAGACATTGTGAGTTATATAATAGTGTAAAGTCGAAGCGCGTCATATGGACGACATAGAAAGTAGCGCTAATCCTCGTTGGGATGATGATTGGAGACATAAATATGCTAAAAGTTTAGACCAATTTTGCAAGAGTTAATAATGCTAATGATGATGTTGTTAGAACCGCAGCTGAAGGACCAACTGGAGCAGATGCTAAAGATTACACAGACCACAACAAATGGGGTAAAATCTCAAATCGTTATACTCGTCATTCCGGAAGTGGTATTCGCAAAGGTGAATATTTTAGACTCGCTCATCGGTTTAAAGACGGCTTCACCGAGAGCGGATATTACCTTCCAATTCGCTATGCTTCTTTAGAAATTGAAATAACAATCGTATCAGATGCTGACGAACCAGTAATTAAAGGGGTAAGCGCGGCGAGTGCTACAACTATCGGCGGCGATTGAGGAGGCGTTTATTTTACTGAAGGAGACACTACGACAAAATGGCAACTTAACAATATCATTTTAAGGGCAGAAGTTGTAACACTAGATCGTCAAGTAAATGTTAATATTACTCGTCATTTGTTAGAAGGTGGTAGTCTTAAAATTGTTTATCCTATGTACCACACAATAACACAATCATTTAACGCGTCCGGAACAGAAACTAATATGAATGTTGTAAAATCAGCAAGTAAGTTAAACGGTGCTTTCATTACATTCTATAGAACACAGCGAGGCGGTCATTTAACAAATGGAAAACAAGACAATTATTATTTACCAGACAATTATGTTCATAAACGGTTTAATTATTTCTATAATCCTATGATTAACTCAAGATTTACCGACCGTGGTTCTAATGCTACTGGTGCTGATGCTGGTTATGGATTTGCTGACAAGAATTATAACATTTCGTGGCAGATACAAATAGCAAATAAAAGTATCCTGAATTTGAAAGTCAGAGTTTATCAGAACATATGTATTTCTTACGCCGTATGTTAAATTGCA